GGAAGTAGGGGGATCTCTGTGAGTTCCAGGCCAGTCTGGTCTATATAGCAAGTTCTAACCCAACCAGGACTAAATAGTGAGACCCTATCCCAAACAACAAACACACCAACCTTAGAACCAAAGGATTCTAACAAAATAGGTGAGTCTTTACATTTTTATATTATTTTTATCCTTCAATTATAAAAATCCTTTAAAGGTTTGCTAGCTGAGTAGTATTTCAGATATACGTTTTGTTCAGCCAAAACTGATTTGAGACATGCAGTTGTTCCAAGCAACTTGTGAGTAGAGGCCAGTGCCTCTAGCCCTAGTATATGGCTGGACCTGACAAAGAAAATTTAAAAGTTCCTAGGTTTAGTGTGTGCCTCAATGGCAGAGTGTGTGATTAGTTGTGTGAGGTCCTAAATTCAATCCCTAACACCACTCCCCCTCAATTCAAAATTATTTGTCTTAAAATCTATTAAAATCTAGCCACTGATTCTAATTCAGTGAAATAATATTTTTATCAAGCCATTAATAGCGGCCCAATCTAGATTTTAAAACTCTAGAGCGGGTTTTTTATTTTGTCATTAAAAAAAAAAAAACTTAACACAGGTACCAGTGGCCATTAAGTATCTTTATTTTTAAAAGTGTTTAAGGATTTCCAGAATGAAGACAGGATATTGTCCCCATACAGCTCACAGTAGCTCCAGAGTACCCATCTCCTGAAGAACTGTTCCTAGAGTATCTCATAGTAAAAAAGTGTTGACAGCACTTATCCAAGTTAGAGTCTCACATACCCACCCTCTTTACAGGAAACTCAGAACCAGACTTCTTTTAGGTTTAGGTTTACTTTTAGAATTATTTAGACTTGGATCATATTCAGTATAGTCTAAATATATTGAATACAATCTAATTCATAATGCATACTTTAAATGCATGCATGACCAGTGCAAAAGCAAAATTACCAATGTATTCTTTCTTAACATTACGAGCCTCTGCGGGAGAATTTTAAAGTGCATAAAAATTTTAAGACAACAAGATTATAAACATCCCCTATGGTATAGAACACAATATTTCTTTTTGTGTATGTATATTTTGAGTTTTTATAAGAATCCAGCACAGCTATGTAATAAATATGCAGTAAGATTAAAGTGATTGCAGGGAGAAGAGAGAGGTAGAGCTTGGAATTTATTAAAACTGAAGTGGACTTTAATCTTTTCTCACTGAAAACATTGCCTTCACTTGAAAAACAGAAGATTGGGTACATGGGGTATACATCTCCGCTATGCTCGCTCTAACTGCGTTTCCTCTCAGCACCAATATTTGTGAATATTTGTGAATAGTCTTTCATGCATCCTTAGCCCCAATCAGTGCCCCAGTGGGACGTCCTCACATTCCTGACTGTCCAGCGACTTTTAACAACCCTCCTCACTGCCACTCTGCCTCAGCCTGTCTGATGACTGCAGCTGGGACCAGAACCCCTGTTCCTGGGAGTTACGAGTCCTCCCCAGTGGCTGGAGACACCACTCTGCCTGTCCAGTGAGCTCAGCACTGTCTACTGCCTACCCCTCCTCTTGCCTGCTTTCTTGTCACCAGTTCCTGATTCATAGGAGAAGATCATAGCCACACCCTATAACAGCAAAGTTCACAGTTTTGTTATTATCTTACTATATTGCGCTTGTATTCATGCTCCTGAAGTCATGTGTGAGCATTGGATCTACATGCTGTGTGAGTGTGTGTGTGTGTGTGTGTGTGTGTGTGTGTGTGTGTGTGTGTGTGTTCTCTTAATAGCCTGAAACTAATAGTCAACATTTGCATCACTGAAACTGGGAAGAACTGCATCTATCACTCCTTTTTATTTTGTTGGATACGGTAGAAAAATACAGTTTAAATTTATAAAATGTGTCATATCTACAACCTTTATATTGCAAATAGTATTCCAAACTAAGGAAATTCCTGTAGTATCTGAAAATACTACTTGATTTGGTAAAAAGTATTTATATCATTGACTAACAAATAATATTCCATGTATCTTTGCATCTTAATGTTACATTTATCCCTAACGTAAAAAACATCTAATTGCATCTATATGAGAACCTTATTTTCTAACCAGTTCCAACTCTTAGATATAAGAACTTGCAAAAGTCAATCAAAACATTCTTTGGGAATTGTACACAGAGGGCCGGGCACGCCTTTAAGCCCAGCACTCGGGAAGGCAGAGGCAGGCAGATCTCTATGAGTTCAAGACCAGCCTGGTCTACAAGAGAATTGTATACAGAGCTTAAAATATAAAATCTATTGTTATTATTCATAAATTGTGTGTGTCACAACCTGCGTACTGGCACAATATTTAATGCCCCCTTGAGTGTGTAAGGAAGATACGTATCTTCCTTCTATTCCTCAAAATGATGCCTAAACTTTTACCAGCTGGCTGCAGGTGACAAATGGCTGGCCCAAGCCACATGATCCACAACAATTCCTCATAAGAGTCATGTAAAACATTTGTGGACGGCTTTCGAGCCAGCAGCAGCTGCCAGATGGAAGGAATTTACAGGCACATGTATTTCTAACTTCACTTCTTTCACACGTTATTAATAGGTTTCCATCAAAATTCAGTTTGCAATATAGTCAGCAATGACGGCACATAGATTCCCCAACTCCTTGTCTTTTCCTGACTTTAATGTTGCCTCTGAACTATGTCAGTAATGAGGTCATTACATTTGCTATTAAAATCCATAAACTTTGTTTGGCCTAATTTAAACGCTGACATTATGGACCCACGTTAATTAGTCTGAATGGATAAATCCCCTGCCATCTATGCAAGTGTAGAAGTTTCAGGTTGAGTTACCTTATTATTGAGGTTAAGACGGGGAAAAAAAAATGATGACTGTGACTAACCTATGATCTTATAGTAAAAGTATTTTGTATCATTGTATCATCATGAATTCAGTAATGTTTCAACTTTGTTTTATTCTCAGTTTAGACAACTGACATGTTTTGTTTGTTTGTTTTTTCCGAAACAGGGTTTCTCTTTGTAACAGCCCTAGCTGTCCTGAAACTCACTCTGGAGACCAGGCTGGCCTCAAACTCACAGAGATCCGCCTGCCTCTGCTTTCTGAGTGCTGGAATTAAAGGCTAGTGCCACTGCCACCCAGCAACTGGCATGGATTTTAAATATTTAGCTTCAGTCTTTATTCATGTGACTGTTTGCCACATGTGTACAAGTTCCAGTGGCAGCTAGTAAAAGGTGTTGAATCCTCTGGAGTTGGAGCTACAGATGGCTGTGAGCAAACCAGCTAAGGAGCTGGGGACTGGACTGGTGGCCTCTGGAAGAGCAGTGTGTTCCTAAGCTTAGAGCCACACGTCTATCCTCCTGACAGGGGTTTTACAAATATTGCACATTAATAGTAAATTGGGTCTCTATGAGGGGAACTTTTCTCTGTGTACTCAGGAACCAATTTAATTCTTTTTTAAATGTTGCTTTGGTTCCTTTAATCAAAATATATGAGTTTGTGTTAGCTGTCTTGTATGGAATATCTTAACTTTCTCATCTTAAACTTCCAGGTGGACTCAGAACCCAAATTTTGTTTTATAATTAAGTCTTTATACTTTGAGCCCCGAGTTAGAAGTGATTGTTAGATTCCCAAGCTATTCCCAATATCCCCTTTTGTGGCTTAACAATTCTCCTGACAGCAAACAGAGTCCTGATTCTGGAGCGAGAAGGAAAAGTATGGGAGGGCAGATGATAAGAGACAGGGGTCACCATCGAGAGAGAACAAAGATGCTTGCACAAAAGCAGGGAAACGAAGAGGAAGGACCAGGAGAGCCTTGCCCAAGTCATGCTCTGTGAGAGGGAGGGAGGGAGCAGAAAAGAAGCTCCCCTGAACTGTGCTTTGTGCACAAGAGTGACGGTCAGTGTGAGACTGTCTGCACCCTCACTCTGTGTCCTCTCTCAGAGCCCCAAGGCCTTCATTAGGGTTAAGGTTCCACCAAATCCTTCACATACCTTCCCAGTCCCCAGAAATACACCCTTAAAATCCCAATTTCTCAATGCATTTGTTCTTAGCAAGTGTTTGGGAAATATCAGCCTGAACAAAACTGCCATTTAGAGGAATTCAGGCCTTGTCACAAAATGAAAAAGAAAACAGGGAAAGGGGCACAGTGGTCCCTGATCTGTAGTTTCACTTCCAAGCCAGACGTTTTCAACTTTGGGTTGTTCTGAGGAGCGTGAAGAATGTAGTCCGCCCCATCCCACCTGGGACATGAGCCATCCCCTTGCCTGCCGTAGAAACACTAGGCACCGAGTGGCTTGTCTCTCTTATCAGACCGACAGTTGTGACTGCCAAGTTAGTATCCAACAAACCCATGACTTACTCCGTAATCACCATTACGTGCAAAGCTGCAATGCTGGAAATTTGGCTATACCAAAGAGAAGCCATCGTCATGGAAAGAATGAGTACTGTGTAATAGTATGTGAGAACATGTTTGCATAACATTCTTACAGTGTGTTACAATTTTTGTTAATCCCACAGTGGTCTCAATTTATAAATTAGATTTTGTCATATGTCTCTATGTTTAGGAAAAATACGGTATGCATAGGGTTTAGTACTGTTTGCTCAATCAGGCATTGCCAGGGTCTTGGAATGTACCCATACAGCTAAGGGAGGGTTACTGTTTTCTGAAAGAAGGTCCCTTCCTTGGGGCTGTGACTATACTGGGCTCCAATAAATAGTTCCTGGTGTGCACTCCTCTCTCCCCTTCTAACCTGGCATTGCTCCACAGGCTGCCTGTTGCAAACACCGCGCTACTAGCTGGTCCTCAGGACGTATCTCAGGAGTCCAACAGCCCCTGGCATTGGAAGTGGAAGAGAGGGGACTGGCTGCTCTTAGGTGCAGCTCGGTTGTAAATGGAGGCTGAGAAAAGGAATAGGGACACCTGTCTCGTGGCCTTACTCCCAGATTCCTTGTTCAAATGGGCCATCATTTTCTTTTTCAGAGTTCCTGGTGGATGGACACAGGTTGCTAGTAAATGATGGTGACAACACAGCTTTTGTTGTTTGGAATTGGGGATGTTTTAAAGTAGGGAAAATCAGGAAAGTCCCTGGTGAGGCTAGAAACGTTATCAATGCTGTATGACTTTAAAGATGAGTCCCTGTTGAAAAGAGCCATATCTAAGAATGAGATAAACATACATGTTTGCCAGCCTTTGTACGAGGACCTGCTGTCCCTTCTGCTGGGGACGAGCAAGCTCTGCTCCCGGAAGGGACGCTTGGCCTCAGCACTGATTCGAAGCCTCTGCAGCCCACAGATAGCCAGGTACTTTGTGGGGAGAGTGTAGGAGCCACACAAGGAAAGCTTCAGGTCCTGGACCAGAGTGAATTCCAGCAGCTGGCCCAGTGTGGATGCATCCGTGAACCAGATGGTCAGGTGGTCATATCTGGTTTGCTCCATGGCAAAAGGCAGGACAGATTTACAGCTGCACATCAAGCTGGCCAAACTGTAGTCACAGTCTCTGACGCCAACAGGGCAGCTGCAGTTGCGAATGGTATTTCCCTTTGTGAAAATCAGGGTGCTGCTGTTCTGACCTTTTGTGAAGTGGCCCAGTGCAAAGATGCCTAGCTCTCCGAGCAGAAGCAGGCAGAGGCTGGCAGGAGGTGTCATTCTTGTCCGGCATGGACTGGGGCGTTCCTGTTTCCCCTCGTGAGGCAGTTCACTCGAAATCACCTGAAAGGAAACCTGATGCTTTACTCTCACAGCCTGCTTAGAAGTGCACGCCCTGCTGGAAAACCACCCCAAACCACCAAAACTGCTGTGTGCAGTTCTGATTGGAACTGTGCAGGCCGCAGGACTTCTGCACTCTGTTGAGGCATAAAACTCCCAGTGATAGGTGCTGACAGCAAGACTAACATGCCAGGGAGCTGGGGTGATGTCAGCAACGGGGCTGCCACATCCCGTCTACTTCAGTAAGCACACCCTGCCAGCATCCAGTTTCTGCCTACCTGTACTTGCATAGCCCAAAGCAAGCACACGCCCTGCTCCCACACAGGATCTGCTTTCCGGGAACTCAAAGACAAGCAGTTCCTTGTAGGAGTCAGCTGCCCACCTACGCACACTGGCTGCCCACACACGCACGCTGGCTCGCTGGCTGCCCACACGCGCATACACGCTAGCTAACCAGCACTGTGTAAACAGCCATTAAACATTTAATGGTAAAATTCCTTACAAACCCCACCTCCTCCAACACAGTAGTCCCTTCTCTGGTCCTACAAAGCCTCATGTACCAGAGTCAATATCGAAACTATGTCAACAATGATGATAAGGCTAATCAACCACCAGTTTTAATCTGTTATCTATCCCAGAACAAATCTTATGAATTGATTTTGTCAAATAATTTATTGTGGGGTCCCAAAACTAACCATTATATAAGCGCTGGAAAATAAACTCTGGGAGGCAAATGGGAAACATTTGTATTTTAAGGAGTGACTGGGGACAGTGATGTGCTGGCCAGGCATATAGCTGATGAACACCCCCTCTTTTGATGTCTCTATAGGAAAGCTAGCATTGGGGCAGAAGGCGTCAGATTTCAGCTTTGCAAAAACATCTGTGTTTCTTGGACACCATAGGGATTGAGAAACACTTGGCATATGGGCCTGGGAAGATCAGAGCTGTACACGGGGCCACCGTTAGAAGGGACAGGGAGGCAAGAGGAGGTTATTCTGAGGTGCTAAATGTCTGTCCAAAGAATTTGATGGCGGCAGGAAGGGGGTGCACTGAGGGTGCAAGGTGAAGTCACAGGCACAAAGAAACTGGAAGGAGGCAAAGCTGAAAATGCCAGGGCTCTGACAGACAGACACAAGTCACAGGGAAGACAGAAATGGGCTCAGCCAAGTGAAGAACTGAAGGAAAGATACCGGCAGCAGCCACAATACAGCTATCCCATCAGTTCCCACTCACCTGGAGTTTATTTGGTGGTGGGCACTTTGCTAGCCCTGAAGAAAAACAGCCTTGACTTCAGGTCCCTGCAGGGTCCTGCCTGCATGGAGCTTTTGTTCTAATGAACTTGATTCCCAACCCTTTGCTGTGACATCAGAGCCCACGGCCAAGCCAGACCTTCGTGGGAGGCCCCAGAGCTGCAGCAATGGGGAACAAGCCAAGTCAGAAGTCAGGCAGGTGCTATGTGCCAAGCCCTGAATCAGGCCAACCAGAAGAAACGACTATCACCAGGAACTGTATGCTGCCCTCCGAGGATATACTCAGTGGAAGAAGACGGACAGAGACAAACTGAGAAAAGCTACAGGAACACAAAGATGGCTATAAAGATGCAGCCGAGGGCTGGACTGACTTAACTGGAAGGCTGGATGAGCTCTTTTGGTAGTGTCTTGTGTTCGTTTTGAAGCTGGCAGAGGAGATTCTTAAAGAGTTTATAAAAAGGTACATTTGTGAGTAAAAAGCTCTGATAAACTTGGGGCCAGTGTGCTCCATGAGCAAGAGGCTTGCCTTTTTAAATGTCATCAGAGGGCATAGGTGACTGACTACCCCACTTTGTAAGGGACAGAAGGGACTTTATCAACTACAAGATCATTTTTAGACAATCAGTTGTCCCAGATTCTACCAGGTTTCTGGGACTCCACGTCCCAGTAACCTTGTGTTCACAACACTAGGAATTCTGTGACTGCACTGGCTCTCTCTGATCCCTGCTTAAAAGAGACAGGGACGGGGTGGTGCACCAGCCACAACCTGGGAGGAAGTGGCTGTCATCTGTTGGGTGCTGATGCTGTCAGCGCTTGTAGGAAGAGAAAGAGCAGGGAAGGAAAAGCATGGTGGTTCGCCGGAGAATGGACCCCACAAGTTTCCAAGGAGATTTGGGACTCTTTTTGTTTGCAATGGTCAGGGCCTGACTGGGAACCCAGGTAGTCCCTGCCCCCTGGACTCCAGGGAGCCCAGAGGCCGGGATGAGGAGGCCAGTTGCTGGAAGCTTCCCCAATGGTGTACAGGTTGGGGCAAATGTCCTGCTGGCCATTTCATTCCATTTTGACATGTTTCTCCTTCAGTTTGCCATGACCTTCTTTTTGCTTGTTAGACACAGACTGTGAATACCCTGGTCTCACTGCACGGTCACGAATTTGTACCTAAGCCATAAACAGAACGGGCATAACTAAATGACACCGCCTCGGCTTTACGGTAGCACAAGAGGGCATCCTACTGTAGTAGGGGTACGTGTGGGGGAACAAATGCTCCACAGTGGAGCCAAGAGGAGGTGGAACACTGAGAAAAGCATGTGTCGTGTTAACATGGGCCAGAGGGTTAACAGGACCCCTGGGCTCTCCCTCCCTCTGCCACTGCAGTCTCAGTCCTCTCTGCCCTCTGAGATTTTCCAAGTTCTTGTCACTCTACTGTAACATTATGGGTATTTTTCCTTTTCTCCCACTTTAGAAATGTTCCCCTCCTCAGGATCAGAGGGAGTAGGAAGAGAGAAGGGAGATGCGTAAAAACGTATGCGCACGCACACGTGTGTGTGTGTGTGTGTGTGTGTGTGCGCGCGCGCGCGCACGCGCGCGCGCGCCATAAATTCATCCTGTATAATTAATATGTGTCAAGACTTATCAAAGCAACATAACTCAGTTAGGAAATACTACCATTTAAAATGGCTTCCATGAGATTTATGGGGGTTACATATATGCAGTATTAAACATAGCATGCATCATTTTAAAAAGAAAAGAAGAAATAGTCCCTTCCTCAAATATCACCTCCTTTGTGACGCTCACCTGACATCTTCAGCCCCAGGTGTAGTTACACACAGATGTAATACTCTGTTCAGACAGTCACTTAGGGGTGGTGGCAGTCCACTGGGATTACTGGTTTACAGGGTTTTCTAGCGGAGAGGAACCCCCTCCCTGATGAAGGGGCCCTTGTTTGACTTTGTGTCTTGTTTCAGTGTTGTCCTTTGCTTCTTGTAAGGACTCAACCAGCTCTGTTGATGCAGTGGAGAAACATAGCTCAGCAAATGTCAGCTACAGGAAGCCAGTTCAGACTACTTGAGTAAAAATAATTGGCTTACATGTCTGAAGAATCATGGAAGCATTTTAAGCATGTCTTCATCTTGCTGCTCAGAATGGTAGGTTATCAAGCTTAAGTCTTCCTCCTCCATGGGCTGAATTCTCAGTGGTCTGAATTCTCAGACAAGCTCATACCTTCTAGAAACAAGAGAGTCTTGGTAGAGATAGGTTTTCTCGAAGCTGAGCAACCTCCAGAGGAATTTGTATGTTTAGCCTTCAAAAGTTAAAGAAATGCCTCCTCCCACCTTTACTTTCTTTCCAGTTTCCCAATAAATGGAGACAAAAATGTGTTGTCTCCCTGAGTCAGAGGCTCCACCCTGGAGCGGAGGAGCAGGATAAGGGACTGGGAAGGCGGTAGACTTTGGGGGGGGGAGAAGGCAAGCAGTATGCCCTCAAAACTCACGTGGAAACTGCCCCCCAAGCACTGATACAATGAGTGCAACGATGCTGGGACCTGCTCCGTTCATGTCTCCGTGGGTCTCCAGTGGGGTGGTGGCAGAGGGCAGAGGTGGTGAGGCCTTAGAGGCAGAGCTGACTGGAAGATGATCAGGCCACCGAGGGCATTGCTCTCAGATAGCAATGCAGTTCTTATTGGGTTCTGACTGGTTGGGTGAGAAGGCTGTTAAAAAAGCGCGGGTGTGCCCCGCTCTGAGTTCTGGGTTCTTTTTCACGACAGTGTCTGTCTCCCATCTGCTTCCACCATGGTGCCAGTTGCCGTGGGGCCCTCACAAGAACTGGTGCAGTACTAGTTTCATTTCTAGCTTTCAAAACTGTAAGGTAAAAAAACTTCTTTCTTTAGAAACCTCTCAGCCTCGGGTATGTCTTTTTAGTAACAGACTAACATACTTTGTGGGATACATTTAGTGTCCTCTTTATTGCATGACCCTTCATTTTCACCTCTTCAGAATCTTCAAATACTTTTGCATTAACACTTTGGGTGCCACATTTGTGATAGACTTCTCTGCTAGTTCCTCAAATACTAGCTTTAAAATGTGTTTCGTGGGGTGCTGGGCCCTGTTTTCTGCCCTTATCTTCAGTAGCACAGCTCAGGCTTAACTCTGAAACTGTTTCCTTCTTACTGCAACCTTATCAACCTCCAGCTCTCACATCTCCCCAGTTTTCTTTACTGGGTTATATCCTTAGTTGCTTTTCCATTTTAGATAAAAATCCTTTCTAACTTCTAATTAAATACACCTTCGAATTAAACTTTTAAATCATATTTGATTTTAATTGCTGCAATGATTTGAAGAATAGTACTACATTTTCCCAGTCATACTTTGTCCTCTGTATTCATTAAGTTTACAGAATTCAAGACATCATTATTTATGGCACTCCAAGTGTATTTGGGGTGCATGGCCCTGAAGCTGTCCTCCCTTGGAGAGGGTTTCTTTTTACAAATGTAACTCGTCCAGTTTAAGACAGTCCTTTTAGAGCCAAGTATAAACACGCTCTAAATGCTGGGTGTAACTCCAGATTGAGAAGGAATCTCTGTGGAATTTGTTCTGAAGCAACTGATGTCCATACCTACTTAATTCAAAAGTCTTTGCCTTCACACAGCTTGTCTCTCGAATTAGTTGCTACAGAGAGTTCTTCAACTAAGTCAGTCTCATCCGTGGACAGATTTCATAGTTT